ATATATATTATCGTGAGAAGAGTTATTAATTAATTTTTATGTGTAACATCACATCTATTATTTGGCAATAACCTAAATAGGAATTGATTTACATTTACTACTATATTTTTCTAGAACTATACGCACTATATGTATAGTACTGATCTGCCCATCTCTAATCTTGTATATGATAGTTGAAATTATTTAGCAAATCAATGATGAAACTTAAAATTGCCTAAACTATAGGCAAAACTTTTTAAACTGTGGTTAAATTGTCAGTCCTATGAACAAAGTTTTATATTGTGGTAAATAAATAGATTTATCAAAGTGCTGTCCAATAATATGTTGGATATGTGACCTATATAGTCTCTTTTATTTTAATATTATGTATTATATTTTTATTATATGGGGCATGCTGCAACAAAACCAGACAAAGTGAACATTAGTGTTACCAAAAATTTCGGGGGTCAAAATTTAGTTATTATCATCACAATTAGTTTATAATACCCCATTTGTTAAGTGATATATAGAATTACCTCTATATAAAAATAGTTAATATGAAGCTAATTTATATAAGATCTACCATGGAACCCAAGAATTGCAGCACAATTAGAAGTATTTTAAAAAAGGAACAAGGTGAAAAAATTGCTCCTTACATTTTCAAAATAAATGACACTCAAACACTGGAAGCTTACCTAAGAAAGAAAGGATTACCTATGAAATTTACCAAGAGGAAAGAAAAATAATAAATGTTGGAAAAAGAAAACATCATGATGATGCATTATTACCTAATAAAAAGCAAAAATCTTTAAAAGGAAAATAATTTGATAGTTAAAGTGAATTTCAATTTATACAGAATATTCTTTAAACTACTTTTTTATTTTCAATCAAGATCATCTTTTAGTCTCTTTGACTTCAATTTGAGCCACTAGTTGACCATTCTGTTGTTGTAATTGAGTTAATTGAGTTTTTAATTCATTGATTTCTTTTTCATAAGCAGTTACTTTATCAACCAGTTCTTGTGGAGTTAACTTTTTCAGCCTTTCTAATTCAGCTTTTAGTCTGCTTATCTCATCCAAAAGTTCCTGTTTCTGTCTCTTACCCCATTCTTTGGATTTTTCTTGAAACTTGGCTACTTCCTCCCTTTCTATAGCAATGGTTCATTCAGCTTCATTTAGTTGTTCTTGTAAAGAGTTTATTTGCCTTTTGTAAAAAGCAGACTGACTTATTTCTTCATGAGGTAAAAGAGGGAGTTCTTTCTCCTCCAAATCTTCATTGTTTCTAATACAGTAGCAAACATTCTTGCCAGTAACAATATCAAAATCTAACTTAGTTTGTAATCTGCCACACCTATCACACTTTAGCAATTCATCATTTCAATACTTTTCTTCACAACTTTCACAAACCATGTCATCTGCAATTCATTCCCTGATTATTTTAGTGCGAGTCCTTATTTGATGAACAGATGCATTATTTCTGCTTTCTAGTTTAGAACAAAAATCACAAGTTTGCTTACTTTCTTTCTCTAATTCTAAAATTATGTATTCCAGTTCTCTCATTGTAATCTACTTGTTATTTAGACTTTGCTTCTACTTGAGCAATCATTTCTTGGTTGTGAAACTTTTCCTTTTTGACTAGACTTTGCAATTTTTGAATCTTAACTTTTGCTTTTATTTTTAACTGCTTAAACATGCTCTGTTTAGTCAAGAATGATTTATTTTCTTCTTCAACAGGTAGAGCAGGTAGGGGTTTGCTGTTTAAATAGTTCAAACTCTTTAAACTTTCATTTTGTGACTCACTATCAGATAATTGCTTGCTTAGTTTTTCTATTCTTTTGCTCTTTTGGCTTGACTCTTCCTCTAACTTTTCAACTTGGGCTTCTAAATAAGAAATCTTTTCACTATTGCTTTTGAGTTTCTTATTTTTTTTAATCATATCTTCTGCTTGAGCTTTACTTCATTGTTCACCAACTTCTACAACTTTCTTAACTTGTTCCCATTCTATTTCTACTCTCTCTTCTAATTTTTCTACTTCTGTTTCCAAATTTGCTTGTCAGATTTAATTAAAACTTTCCTGTCACAAACATGCAATCGTGATGCAATTAAGCACAATGGAATTTTTTCCCACAGGTGAAGGAGGGTTGAACAAGTTGAAAGGCTTTGGACAAAACATTCCCTTATCTTCCCTTCAGACCAGGCTTGGCTGTTATCATATGGACATTGATCACTGATAGCTGGCATTTGTATGATGATTGCTTCATGTTATTGCCACACTAGCATAAAAGTTGGCACCTGCAACTGGTTGAAAATTCTGCAACTTGGAAGTTGCAACCTGGGTTGCTGTTTTGGATTTTCCCTGAATTCAGAGTTTTGAGTCCTGGGTTGCTGTAATTTTTATGAA